ACGAAAGTGTGTGGGATCGTATTTATGATTAATCATGTTCTCTTGTGTAAATGTAGTCAGTGCTTGATGGCCATTGTTGTTTCATGTATAAATGGCTCAGTGACGGAAAACTGTTACAGCTTCCCCTGTCTCAGACATACATTAACCTAACATTTGCTTTACAAAACCTCCATTTATTCCTCTAGCCTTACCCAAATTCACACTGCTGGATTAGGGACTATCTGGGGTGTCTGAAAAGAACTAAATTTGGGGGTTTTGTTATGTTGAGAATTGAATAACCTAAATCTGAAATCTAAGGTGTTAGGCTGACTGCAAGAATAGCAAAGGCAAGGAGTAGCAGTCATGGATTTTTGACTGTAATTTTAGGGAGCAGCTTCTGGCTACATTTTTCAAGGAGAAATTTCACTAAGAACATGAGCTTATGGTCCAGAGACAAAATGCGAGAGATTGGTATGTTCTGTTGATCACAGACTTTGGTAATGTCTGTAAGCTCTTTCCTCCTTGCCACTGGCCATTCTTTTTCTGTAAAATGGTCAACTTGGTTGAAAGTAAAAAGATGAGATTCTACCATCTGAGTGCTGCCAGATATGTATGGATATTGCTTTTCTAGCAAGAAAAACACTTCAGTTTACACAGTGAGAGATGAGAAAACATTTCTTATTATCAACCACGTGTAGACCTTTCTTTGTGACTGAGTGGACATGGGCCCAGCTGAGCCAACAACTGAACAGAATGTCCTGGGTTAGATTTTTAGGCAAATACAGCTTTCCTCATTTATTTGACAGCCTGAGAGGTTATTGAGAAAGGTTATTGTCTTTAATTAAGAGACAAAGGGAGGGAACCTTAGTGGCACAGCAGAGGTGAAATATTGATAATATTAATGTGAAGTCAGGTCAGGACTGAGTCCTTGTGACTGTAACTGCTGTCACTCAGCGACTCCGGGTGAAACTGCCCTGAGAGCTAAAAGGCTGAAAATGCCTTTTTCCCCTGTGGAATAATCCAGCTTAAGAACCTTGAGTGTGCATCTCTCTGAAGCTTTCTGACAGCTTGCCTCCCTCCAGGGGAAGTCGAAATCGGATTTAGCCCTTGTTCTCTTTTTGCAAATAAATTCCATCTTGATAAATAGCGCTGCCAGGCCACAAGCTGACGTGAAGCAGGAGGACCTTGGCTGTGGTGTCTCATCCTGTGTGGGTCTCTGTGTATCCGTTCACTTCTCTCTCCCTCCCTCCTTCGCTCTCCTTCCCTCTCCCATAGAATTGCCTCTCTCAGGTAGAAGTCACTCGTGCCTTTGTTCACCTGTTGAAAACGTTGTCTCTGCGTGTCTAAAATGTGCCACGCACTGTGTTAGGTTCTGGTGATGTGATGGAGAACAAAACAAAACAGACCAAGTCCCTCTCCTCAAGGACTTCACTTTCTAGAACTCTCTGAAGTTTGACTGAACCCTGGCTCTTCCATTCATAGTGTTTTAACTTTGGGACAGGTTACTTAACCTCTCTGTTCCTCGTTTTCCTCATCAGTGGGGGTAATATTAGTACTTATCTCAACTTAATCCTTTCTGAGGGTGAAATGAAGTAACACATGTTAAGTGTCAGCGCACTGTGCACACTGCTATTTTCACTGATGTTGGTACTGTGGTTGCGTTCTTTATTTCTGAGATGCTTTTTGCTGCATCATCTGGTGACCTGACAGAGCAGTTTCCTTTGTCTTCTGATTTGCAGGACCAGAGAGCAAGCAAGAACTCCTCCCCAAATGCCTAGGGAATAATGACTGTGAGAGCAGCCCATGCCTGCCTGCAAGTGCATCACCCAGGCATGTCCTCATGCAATCACAGCAGGGCTCTGATGGGAACGAGAATGAGAATGAGTATTCTGTGTATTTAAAGAGGTGTCTGAGGGAAAAAAACCCCAAAACATCAAAATGAATTTAAGACATACTTTTTAAATACAGGCTGAATATCCCTAATCTAAAGATCTTAAATCTGCGATAAACAGTTTACTGCAAATGTCCTTATAATAAAAGTGTTTTTTTTTTCCTTCTGAGTAGATGCCCAGTAATAGGATTGCAGGGTCAAATGGGAGGTGTAATTTGAGTTCTTTGAGGAGTCTCCATACTTCCTTCCAAAAAGGTTGTATTAGTTGGCAGTCCCACCAGCAGTGTAAAAGTGTTCCCTTCTCTCCACATCCACGCCAGCAGCTGCACCTTTGAGACTGTGATGTGGGCCATTCTCACTGGGGTTAGGTGATATTTCAGGGCAGTTTTGATTTGCATTTCTTGGATGAATAGGGACAATGAGCATGTTTTCAAATGTTTGTTAGCCATTTGTCTGTTTTCTTAAGAGAAAGTTCTACTCAAGTTTCTTGCCCAGTAATATATGGGATTGTTGAGTCTTTTTTTGTTGATTAATTTGAGTTCCAAAAGATCCTAGTTACCAGGTTTTTGTCTGATTCATAATATGCAAATATCTTTTCTCATTCTAAAGGTTGTCTATGGGCGGCTCCTGTGGCTCAAAGGAGGAGGGCGCCAGCCTCATATGCCAGAGGTGGTGGGTTCAAACCCAGCCCTGGCCAAAAAAATAAAACTGCAAATAAAGTTTGTCTATTTACTTTGGTTATTGTTTCCTAAGCTTTTCAGTTTAATTAAGTCCTATTTGTTTATTTTTGTTGTTGCAATTGCCATGGAAATCTTCATCATAAAGTCTTTCCCCAGGCTGATATCTTTAAGTGTTTGCCCCATACTTTCTTTAAAGATTTTTCTTGTTTCACGTCTTAGATTTAAATCTTTTATCCATCCTGAATTAATTTTTGTAAGTGGTGAAAGATGAGGGTCTAGTTTCAGTTTTTCACAGTTCTCCGAGCACCATTTATTGAATAGGGATTCTTTTCCCCAGTGTATTTCTTGTTTGGTTTATCAAAGATCAGGTGGCTGTAAGCAGTTAGTTTCATCTCATGTATTTCTATTTGGTTCCAAATATCGATGTCTCTGTCTTTGTGCCAATGCCATGTTATTTTGCATGGTATTGCACTAGACTGTCTATCACAGCTCAATTTACAATCACTAAAATATGGAAAGAACTTAAATGCCCACCAGCCCAGGAATGGATTAACAAGGTGTGGTATACGTATACCATGGAATACCCTCTCCTATAGAATTGGCCGTTCAGCCACTAAAAATAATGGAGACTTTATGTATTTTGTATTAACCTGGATGGAGGTAGAATACATTCTTCTTAGTAAAGCATCACAAGAATTGAGAAGCAAGAATCCAATGTACTCAATTCTAATATGAAGGCAGTAGATGATTTAATGCAAGGGGTAGGGTAGGAGAATGAGGGATTAGGGTGAGAGGAGGAGGGATAGGGGGAGGTTATGGTGTATGCCACACCACTAATTATAAGAGGGACTTTACCTAACAACCGTAATCAATATAACTCAATTCTTTGTACCCTCAATGAATCCCAAACAATAAAAATAAAAATAAAAATGAAAAAGGAAATTGCTTTAAGCTGATTCTAGAGGGCCCAGGGATTCCTTATAAGATTATGTCTTTACAAGTTTTATATTATTTAATAATTTTTCCAACTTTTTTTTGATAGACTTGGTATAAGATAACTGCTGAGAACACTTTATCAGGCTCTTACCTTGAAGAAGGTCATCGTTGATCCATCTCTGACTGCCCCATATTCTATCTTGGTTTGCTTTGCCAGATCATCTGCTGAATCTATGGGGGATTCCATTCTCTCTACTGTCAAGAAGGCAGCAAGATTGGCAGTGTAGGATGAAATGATGATTAGGGTGAAAAACCACCATATCCCTCCAACTATTCTGGTCGATAGAGCTTTGGGCATCAGCTCTGATCCTGTGATGGCATCATCAGAGTAAGGATGTTACACAGAGTCAGAAGGAAAGGGGAGACTTACGGTTAAATGCTATTACAGAAAGATAAGAGCACCAAGGACTTACTATCTTGCATGTAGACAAAATAAATGCATTTTTTAGAAAATGGAGAAAAACCTAAATGATCCTTTTCTCAAATAATTAATGACTACTACTTCTTAAAGTAACTTATCAATAAGTTATAGTATTAAAATAGTTTTAACATTAAATTAGTCTATGTCTAAATTTTAGTATTTTTAGTTGCTTGGAATGGAAAAGTCCATTCTGAGACTTAGGGCTCTTTATTACAGTTACTGTCTGAATGCATCTTGCAGTATGAATGAAGTACATGTGCTAGGTCTTTATATAACTATGAAAAGCTTTGGGTAACTTACTTCTTTTTAAGGTTAAAGAATGTGAACAACTTCAAAAGATAAACATATTGTGCCATTTATCACGTGTACTTTAATAAAACTTTGGAATTTTACAAATAAAATGAAGTAAGATATATAACCATCCTTGACAATTGATGAAGCATTTTTTGTTTTGTTACCTTTATAATCTTAATTATTTTTGTGAATGCAGATTTTTACTTGGCTAAAAGAATACATTTCCTGAAAAGCATAACTTTTTCCATAAATAAAACACTTTCTTAAGTTTAAAGATGGCTGTTGCGTAGGTAGGAAGAGGACCTTCAGAGGAAGTATGTACATTTTAGATGTCACTCAGATGGTTCATAATCATTTCTCAAAAATAACACAGAGGCACTTAATGTCTTTACCAAGAATTCTCTCTCTCTCTAAAAGAAAGGGCTCATGAGCTAAGTTCGCTTACACAAAAAGCAAACATCTTGAAATGTTCTATCTCAATTTTGGTCAAACTGAGCTGTAGAAGTCTATAAATTCAGCAGCAGAATTAGAAGGGATGAGAAGTACAATTAGAGTTCACGACAATTGTATAGATTCATGAATGGGTTTTGGCAAGTCCATGTGCCTGAAATTCACCATTGGTTCTGCACCTAGCATTTCCTCCATGAACCTGAATGCCATTTATTTCATAAAATAGCCACGGGAACCTGAAGATTGTATGACCAGTTAAAAAGTAGAAGAAAAACATCCCAAATTTGAAATCTCAAAGAGTAAACTGCAGCAAATCAAATATCTGGTCTACGGGATCCATTTTCTATATCAATAAGCTGTTTCCAAGTTTTACAGTTAATAATGGCTTAAAATAGAAAGGAAAATTGAAGTTCACCAGTCTACCAAGAAATGAGTTTATGCTCAGGTTTCATCTATAAACAGATGCACACATTGCTCATGAAATCAAAGCCAGCTCAAGGCTAGTGATAAGCAGATCAAGGTTAGCAGAGTTTCTGGACTTGGAATTAACAGCTGCATTCTCCTAATGCTATTAGAGATCTTTGGGCTTCATTCTTTTTTAATGAGGTAAATGGTTTGAGTGCTGTTTGCATTTCCTTCTGTTGTTTGTTTGAATTTGAGTGTGTAATATTATACAGATTTATAATAGTTTCCATCAAATTGCCTCCAAGGATTTAGTGGAATAGTTGTTGCTGTTGTTTTAATACTGTGGTTTAATGGGATTTATATGCCTTTGGGTGTGTGTTTAATGCCCAAGGTTGTTTCATATCTTTGTACTTAATTGATCTAGCAGCCTCATGGCAAAGTGATACTATTTTAGCTCTTTAGTTGGTTATCGTTAAAATGCCATTTATTTCATAAAATAGCCATGGGAAATAAATAACACAGTTAAGAGATATATTTTCCTAGCTGACAGGTGCAGAATTTCTGCCGTAAATTTATTGTGATGTCATTTGGTTGTAGTTATACACAGATAAGGTTTTTGCTTATTTATACATTTATGTAATTACGTATTACAGGAACGTCCAAGTGGAGAGGCAGATGAATAACCAACTGTTGATACATAATAATGTAAATTTCCATCTTTCACACTTTAAAGTGCATGTTT